GCGCAAGTTCCAAATAGCCTCCATCTGATTGTGGATTACATTATAAATCTCTAATCCAGGGGTGGGGAATCTCCGGGCCGTATACGGCCCACGAGACCATTTGGTATGGCCCTCGAGGTAATTTATAAATACACGCAAAAAAGAATTAAAGAAATCTAGACCGCAAAATAATTAAACAAGCGAGTGCCTGTTTTTCCTGGTCAAGGACAGGTTCCTTGAACACAACACAAGCCTAACGTGTCATCACGTGGTATATGTCTCGTCTGAAAGGGGTGTAGAGCATGGATGTATAATAAGAACTGGATACAGCGTGGGAGGCGGGGTCTCGTTCTTTCCTATGAGAGCTGCTCATTGGCGCATGAAGGCAAAATGGCCTAGCTTTTTTGAGAGCAAAACGTCACAGATTACCCGTCATGCCTGGCTGTCAGAGCAGAAAAACCTGTATATGCGCTCACAGAGCATGCGCCCCTTAAGCCCCGCCCCCCGAGCTCCCACTCTCGGCTCTGTAGAATGAATGGAGACAGAAAATAAATCTAGATTTGGCTTTTAGTGCATTTTACAACTTTAAAGACCTAATGATTCTAATAAGGGCTATACAATAGTTCATACTGGGTAGTTTATTTAATAAAATAAAAATTATCCGCTGATTTACAGACGTCTCTTTCCCAATGTTAGTCAATGGGAAAAAGTCTTTCTGGGCCCAGTGACGTCACAAACTGAAACGGAAATTGTAGTACCGCCATTTGGACACAACGAATATTTTCATCAGAGTCCAGCGCACTTCCTGGGGGCTTGGTGTAGAGGGCTGACGGAGCGCACCGGAACACCGCTCCAGCACTTCAAAAATTGTAGTACCCATAAGGAGCCGTACACATGCCGCAGTTTTTGCGTGACTGTGTCTTTAGTTGTAAGCCCAGTGGCGATCTGTTCATCTGTCATACTGATCATACAGTCAATAACGGCATCGAAAAGAATATGCTACATTACAGTAGGCTACAACTACTTCTGGGTCTTTGTGTGTCATTCAAGCGTGTGTGGCACGAGCGCATTTTTTTTGAGCGAGCGAGAGAGTGAGAGCGGTACCGGGGATTGTTAGCATCTGGTTAGCTAGCTTTGCTAACGAATATAAGGAGCTTTTTCTACAACCAGGTGGAAGAGAGCTCTCTCCTGACAGACTGAGAGGCTCTGATAACCTCAGCTCAGTGAGGTAAAGGCACACCTTTATATGATCATTATAGTTATAAAAAAATAAGAGAATAAATGAAAAACAGGTATAAAATACTATATGACAGTAAAGAAAAGTTGTTATTAATAAACAAGAATACAGTTTAAAAGGGGAGTGATTTGTAAAATATCCATAAGCACTTTGGTCAACGTGGGTTGTTTTTAAATGTGCTTTATAAATAAATGTGATTGATTGATTGATAAAGAAAAATAAAATCTGCTTACAGTTCTGTTTCATATGGATGTTGAGAGATGTATCCATAGATCTCTTAATTTTGCTTTCAAAGTGCACCAGATTGATGCTTTTAACTTCAACATTTAAAAAAAATCTTCCCAGGGGAGCCAGCCCCCGGACCCCCCTAGAGGAGATTAGGTCCGTCCCCCACTTAAATAATGTTCACAAGGATAGGAAACTAAATACATTTGCACACATCTTGTGTCCATATCTTTCTGTTTTGGTGGTCATGCCACAACCGTGCGCATGTATGCATGTATGCATGCATGCACGAGTCATGGTAAAATATCTGGATTAAGACGTTGCTTTTTCTTTGCACAACATGAAAGAAAGGCGAAATGAATGGGCTGTGATTTTAGTTTTTTTAAGCAGAGGTTGAGTTCGAGTACGACCCTTGGAGGATGTTGTAAAAATTGAAATGGCCCTTGAGAGGAAAAAGGTTCCCCACCCCTGCTCTAATCTATCTCTGTAAAAATCTTGTGTCATATCAATTGATTGTATTTCAACAATGTTTATAACATCAATATGGTGAACTAAATAAGGCTGAAGAAGGGCAAAAGGATGTGTTAGGTCTTAAATTCGAAATTAGTCAGATCTTATCCTCCTTCCTGCTGACTGCAACGCTGTAGTAAAACGCCACCACGGCCAGAACACCAACTCTAACAAACCCCACACTCACCAAGGGATGGCAGAGGATTGCAACATCGATGACGACAATGTCACCAAGCCAGGGGATGGCACAGAAGGTCGGGGGTGCAGCGATGCTCCCTGAAGGTGCAATTAGCGCTCCACTACGGGAACAACGCCAGACAGGGTTCCTCCTCTGAACCAGAACATTGTCACACTAATTAATAAGTCAGTCTCATCAGGGCGGTTTCAACACAATAACAACAATAACAGGAAGGGCACGAGAACAAAGGGAAGGGTTATTGTGTGCTAACAACTGCGTCAGACTATTACAAGATTTTCTTTCAATCCTTTAAAATAAACTGTACAAAAGAATCTTTCTACATCATGCAGGAGAAAAAGCTCCCAGAATGCAATGCAGTGATACTGCCGTTTTTTAAGAAGTGATATGAACAAACTATTTACGGTTTTATATGTATGGCAACTACCAAACTCAGTGGTTTCTGCACATCTTTGCAGTCACTTTGGGATTTTGTCTGCCAGGTTTTCCCAGTATTCCATAAACAGTTTTGTCCCCAATGAAGGATGACATAAAAAGTAGGATAAAGTAAACTCGTACCTTTTCCTAACTGACTCTCCAGCTCTTATCACAGTTCCACCACCTAAACCTTTGGGACAGAGAACATCTTGAGAGGAAAAAGCACAGCTGTGAATGAAGACACTAACGATGGCTCTGTAGCACCTCGTTAGTGTGATTAGAGACATCTGCAGTTGGAGTCTGTGTTTGATGAGTCCATAAATAACAACCAAAAAATAAGGGAAAGTTTGTGCATAAACATGTAAATTACAATATTTAAGATATTTGAATGACTATTTTCACTAACCCAAAAATGGTCCCACTACAGAGACAAGAAAAACTAAAGTAAGCTAGCACGTGTGACGGACAAAGACTACAAAAATAAACAAAAAATGCTCTCATTATATTCACACTCTGATGTGTGTTCCCAAGTGCCTATGTTCCCAAATTCAAAATTCTGACACATAAAGATACATTTGAGTAATTTTCCAGGGCCCCATGCTAACTTCCAAGTATGTGTTGCCATAAAACATGTATTATTTAGCTAACCCAGAGCTCGGGAACTTCATTTTCATGGTCTTAATGTGGAATGAATTGTTTGGGAACCAGCTTGGTCTCATTCACAGGTTGTCAAAAATGTACTATAATTCTTTTTAAGTCTAAACTTGTGTGAAAGATTGGGGGAAAATAGGACCATAGGCAATCACCCGTCACAAGATGACATGAACTCCACTTGAAACCACAACTTCTAAATGTATCTTTGGTTTTTGTATGGATTTGAAAAATTATTATGTATATAATGCTTTACACAAAACATCCTAGAAAAGCTATTTTCTTCACACCGATATTCTTTAAAACACTCTGTGGCTAGGCAGCTGATCCGTGCTGTTTAGGCACACGGAGGTCTGGTTGCCTTGCTCAAGGGCAAAGTATTGTATAAGAAGAAGCTGTGAATAAACATAATTCTTGGCCTTGTTATGTGTTAGAGCTGATGACATTTGATGCTCAGCTGCAACCAAACAGTGCTAAATAAAGGATTAGTTTATTGCATCTGTGAAATGTGTTTTTTTGACACTGAAGAAACATTTTGAAACCCCAAAAAATACAGAGTAAACCCAAGACACATTGCAGCATTCAGACATTCACTGCAACTTTCTTCTATACTCTAAAATGCTTCAGCAGAACTCAGAGGGGTGTTGGTGCTCCTTTGGGGAGGCCTAAACCTCAAAACAGCATTAATGTTCAATGCATCCCCTCTCTGGGTGCTTTAGATGTTGATTAATATTTTAATATCTTCTGGCCATAATCACATCACAGCCCTATATTCTGGGCTGAAGCCATCATTCCTTCGGCTGGGTCTTTGTAGAATCGTAGAGTCGTCTCAGACATGTGGGATTATGAAACTGTCGAGCATGCATGGAGATATATTGTGAGCTGTGTATGTGAGATGAAAGAAACCGTCTGTGACTACACACCCTTAAAATCTGTGAGTGATGCCGGCGGTGCATGCCCCCCCCCCCTTCTCAAGGGAAACATTTCACATTTGTATTCTTCTCATGAAGAAGGTTTTGTTTTTATTGTTTTTATTTTATCAGGACGCACCTGTTTTTCACACCTGTGTGTGCATCCTCATGAGATCTGTTAGTGTAGTTTAATTTGATGGAACATTTCCGAACACAAGCATCTTGTCTTGTGCTCATCTGTTTGGACTTCATTTGCTTTATTTGATGACTTAAAGTTTTTGTTTCTACGGTTGAAATTCTTGAAAATAATTCATTAATATAATTATTTTTAAGACATGTCTTCACACCATGATATGGAGATTGTCATGTCTGCGTGTCTTCATGAGGACATCTTTGTTTTTAAGTATATCTGAATCTATTTAAGCTCCGTGGTAATTTGGACAATTGTGGCTTATTGATTTGTGAGTTTATTCCAACTCTGATTTTCTTCTTTCGAACATTGCTAATGACAAGAGCTAACGAGGATCCAATGAAATCAAAAATAAGTGACGTGGTTCAAAGCTTAAGATAATATAAATGTCCAAAATGTAAAAAAAAAATATTTGTGATTTTACGGTTCAATTTCCTTGTTTTAAGATAGAAGAAGAAAATAATGAAAAGTGCTGCATTTAACCTTTTTTATTTTCTTGTCTCATAGGTTGTCCAATTGAACAGCTTCCTCCTGGGGCCCCCTGCTGACGGACCCTACAAGTGCGGGAGCTTCATGAGTGTGTGCACTTAACCCCCTGTGTGTGTGTGTGTGTGTGTGTGTGTGTGTGTGTGTGTGTGTGTGTGTGTGTGTGTGTGTGTGTGTGTGTGTGTGTGTGTGTGTGTGTGTGTGTGTGTGTGTGGCACCATGCTGTGGACAGTGATCCTAGCGCTGCTGGTGCTTCTCCTGCTGCAGACTCAGCTCTCTGTGTGCTTAAGGGAATTACGCAGCGGGGTTTTCAGCTCCTCCTCTTCCTCTTCCTCTTCCTCCTCCTCCTCCTCCTCCTCCTCCTCCTCCTCCCACAATGCCACCCAGCAGCGGTTGCCCGGAGCGATTATTATAGGGGTGCGGAAAGGCGGCACCAGAGCCCTGCTGGAGATGCTCAACCTGCACCAGGATGTGGAGGTGGCAAAGGCCGAGGTAGCGGACCATAACTTTCACCTCATAATTATACTAACAACAGTGGTGGGAAGTAACTGAGTACATTTACTCCAGTACAGTGCAATTTTGTTCAATCTTGTGTTACTTTAGTTAGTCTCTCAGTAAAATATTGTACTTTTCAATCCATTAGCTGTAGTTATATGTTACTTTACATTCACCTTGTGACTATAAAATACCAATCAGTACCACCTGGATTATCTACAACATTTCAATGCTGTTTAAAGGTCACCACATTTAGAATTTACTGTGTGGTGTGTTTTTCAAAAAAAGTGCTTAGTTGTTATACACTGATATACTTGTCCAATAATACTTTCTGTATTTGTATTAATGTAGGGCTTTCAGTAATTTGACAATACTTCTATGACGGTAGAGCAACAAATACTTACGCTAAACATGACCCTACTCCTCCTGACATTGTCACACTTTCCTAAATACTACTTTAGGGATCGATGAAGGGTAACAACTGACTGACTGATTTGGCTGAAAGTATCTAACAAGTAAACACGTATAAAGAAATCAAAGACTGCTGCAAACACAAATGAACATAAGTACTGTTCTTATCCTCCTATCCCCAATAAACTTCACGGTTTCATACCTGGTACAAATAACCGTTTGCTCATGATCATATACATTACATTTGTTACAATTAATTCATCAAGTTTAAGCTGTAAAAATGTTTAGGTGAATTTCCCACTCCAGGTGAACTTTTCCCCTATTATAATTAGAGGCATACATTAAATGAGAACAAAGAAATGATATGTCTCGCAGTGTACTTACATGGTTATGAATGATGACGGCCTGTCCCGAAGAGGCTGCACACAGAGAAATCCTAATCAGGGTAGTTCGAGGTGAAGACTGCAAAGTTGGAAAGTTAGCTCAAAGTAATAGATTGCTCTTGACAAGATGGGGAAGAAATAAAAGAGCTCAGTGTCTTGGAGATGTATCATCCCTACACACTCTGAGAAGAGAAGTTTGCAACCCTACTGCAGGTGCATTTTATGGTCATGCTTTGTTGTCATGCATGTAGCTTATTTTAATTTTCTTTATCAACACCACATCTTGTTTCCCTCTGTTAGGTGCACTACTTCAACATCGAGGAGCACTTTCGCCGAGGCCTGGCATGGTACAAAGCCCAGATGCCCTTCACTCTTTCTGGTCAGCTGACGGTGGAGAAGACCCCCGGCTACTTTGCGTCCCCTCAGGCTCCTGCACGAGTCTGGGCCTTGAACCCCGCCGTGCGCTTGTTGCTCATCGTCCGGGACCCGGCTGAGAGGCTGATCTCCGACTACACCCAGGTCCTGCACAACCGCCTGACCCGCCACAAGCCCTACCAGCCTCTGGAGGAGCTCCTGATCAACAAGGGGCACATCGACCCTGCCTACAAGGCGCTGCAGAGGAGCCTGTACCACCAGCATCTGGCCCGCTGGCTGGAGGTCTTCCCCAGGGAGCAGATCCACGTGGTGGACGGCGACGCACTCATTCAGGATCCCTTCCCCGAGCTGAGAAAGGCAGAGAGGTTTCTGGACCTGCCGCCCAGGATAAGCCCCGACAACTTCTACTACAACACCACCAAGGGCTTCTACTGCCTCCTGTCTGCGGGACACGACAAGTGCCTGGACGAGTCCAAAGGCAGGCCACATGCGCCGCTGAGCACCCAGGCCTTTCAGAAGCTTTGTCGCTACTTCAGGAAGCCCAACAAGATGTTCTTCGAAATGATAGGAAGGTCGTTCTCCTGGTGCTGAACCAGTGGGGAAAAGCCACTGTGGAGATGAAACAGCTCCTGTACAATGCCGACACATTCAGGGACAGAAGGGGAGAAAGAACTGTGGTTTGTGTTTTTGTAGGTAGATGAGTGGAAAGAGTCTTATTTCAATTTATTTCACAAACATTTCTTGTTGTTGATACCTACTCAGGTGTAAATGTGGCCAACGAGAGCAGATGAAAAACGTAGAGAAGTCCAACTGCTCGTGTGGCCAACACAAACCTTTACGACGACCAAGCTGGTGCCTCTTTGGATAAACTCACTTGACGAAGCTACGACAACTGTGCCATACGCAAGTTTGAAACTATATACGACTAACTCCTTTTGAGTGATCATTTGTTGGGTGTGCAGACTTTGAGGTGACACAAGTGGTGAAAAGATGGATGAATTTGTTGCACTATGAACTATTGCATAATAAAAAGAAGTCAATCAAGGTTCAACTTCAAACAAATAACTTTTAAATCAGATTTTTCTAACAGTTGTTACTTGTTGTGTGTAAGTATAAATGCTTAGTTGATTCATTTGCTTTTTTACAAGACTGACTTTTAGAGAAACTTTTAGTGAAAACACCTTTATTTAGCTATAGCTCTTTTGAACGTCCCCTTGAAAACTTGCTTTTTGCTTCTTATCTTACATTCAAGGCCAATGTAGTACCATTTTTCTGTTTGTGTTTTTTAATGTCCTTCTAATAAACGTGTTCAGTACAGTCTCCTGCCTTTTAACAGTCTCCATGAGGGTTTATTGGTTTAAAAACATCAAACATAAAGACACAGAGTCACTGGCAGGTCTCTCTGAAAGCTCCTCTCTTTCAAAGTGCATGAAGATGTTCTCTGTCAGGGTCTATCTGACAGACTCCTCTCATTGAGGATCAAAGGACGCCTCCGTTCCCTTTTCATCGTGAAGTTATTCCTAAAGAATTACGTCAGGTTTCACCACCACACTGTAACAAATCACACCTGTAGGTCACCTGGGTGTCTATGTGTGGTAATTCAAAGCCAGAATGGATGCCTTTAGATAATTCAGTTCATCTGGAAGGACTAGATCAAACCGACATGTCATGACATCAAGGTTTAAGTTAAAGGATTGAAGGACAGGAGGGTTGTTTTAAGATATTTTACTTACTTTTATGTGAGACTCAGTGTCCCACATTACACCAGACAGGGTGTGAGGTTAACTTAAGTTGAATGGGGCACTACTTTAAGCCTTCAGGTATAAATCAAACCAGGGCTGCAATTTATGATTATTTCCATTACTGACAAAGCAGCGACTTATTTTCTCAATTGATGGATTGTTTTGTTGATAAAATGTTGGAAAATAGTGAGAAATTAGAATGTGTGAATCGCATCCCGAGAGCTGAAAGAGATGTTTTCAAATGATTACGGTCCAAATGTTTTTTAATATAAAATCATCATTGGACATGAAGGCCAATCCCCACACATTCTTTGGCATAGAGGACTTTTCAATTAAACAATTTATGAATCACCTTAATACTTGAGATCAGCTCTTAACCCAACATGCAGCAGGGTCTTGCCACACACTCAAAAAACCCTGAGGTGTTGTTTTTACTTTTTTCTTTACTTGATGATGCATGTGTTGGCCCCAAGCAAATCACAGTAATAAAACATCAGGGGACTTTTGACTCTCATTTTAACTGCAAGGATAAACCTTTTAACTGAAATCCTTAAACAAGCAAACAAAATAATGATTTCTTCAAGATATTACAGATGATGTTGCAAAAAAACATATATTTTCTTCATTCAAACTTCAAGACTAAATCACATGTTTTCAAAAACAAGATTGAACATGCCTTATGATGATATGATTTTTTTTCTCCAAGAAAATCACTGTTGTAGAACGCACCATTCTTCATCAGTTTCTTTCCACAGAAAATGATCTTCATAAGGGAGTTGATAACAGTTTGAATGGCAATCTGTTAAAAAAAAAAAGCCAGCAAAAGAAACTAGTTGGACTAACATTTCTGGATAATTACCTCAAACATTGTCACTCTTTTGTGCGTTGCATTTCGAGGCGTCTACTGTTTGCCGCACAAGAGAATGTGAGCTGAAGGATGACCTCTGGCTGTCACCCTCCCTCCGCCCTCCAGAGAAAACTGTAAAGACACAGGCAGAGAGAGAGATGTTAGAATAAACAAATGATTCCCGCTCTTTGAAGATGTGAGGCGGCTGCGTCTTTCATGTGTTCCCTGCTGAGGTTCGCACTCATGTGGACAATACATCTCATGTCATGTTTGATCAGAGGAATCTTCACTTTGTGTGCTGGGGTTCCTGAGTTTGCAACAATTTCATAACCAACTTCATCTTAGATATTCTATTTTGATGTGTTGTTTTATACATCCTGGTGTTGTTGCTGCATTTCACAAAGATCACCTGTTTTAACTTCTGATCTGCCAAGATGGCGATCACTGCTGATGCTGTGAGCGTAAAAAAAGTGATGCAGCGATTATGTATACTGTATGTGTAAGCTATCCAGGAAGTAGGCATTACACTTTTTCCCTCAACAAATCCAATGGGAATTTTCGATTGGATTATTGCGGAAAATAAGCTCTCTGGCAAAAGAAATACCTGCAAAACAAAAGTCCCTACCAATAGTCTCAGCTGCACTTTGTGTTTAGTGCTTAATGAAAAATGTAATCCAGCATAACACACTTTACTGAAAGAGTAAGCATGTGGCTTAACATCAGCATGTTAGCATTGTCTGTGTTAGCAATAAGCTTAAAACAACACTCCAATAAGCAAGACTAAATCTTCAAACCCATATATTTTTCGAAACTTTACAGCAAATTCAAACATGCAAACAGAGACCATTTGCATTGGGATCACACCTGACACAATGCCAAATCAGGCCATGTAGGTGGCTTCAAGAAAACTACATTTTTTGTCCATTGCTCAGACCACACACATCTTATAACCGGACATCTAGAAGACGTTATGTTCCTCCAATTAAGTCTTTAAAAATATGTCAATTTGTGGTAGATAGATGGACAAAATATTTTTAAAACAGTGACTCAGATTTGAGGTTTTCTCATATAAAGAAAAGTCAGACCGTGGGATCTCAGGCGATAATGGAGTTATTGCTGCTCTTTCAAAGGTCAGTCTTGTTAGTGTGATAAGATTATCGCTGTATGTGTTGGGCTGTGAGCAACATTACAGCTGAAAGAACATCAATTCAAAATCATAACACCTCTGAGTCAGACATGGGTAAACAAAACTTCATTTAAAGGGGACCTATCATGCAAAATGCACTTTTGTACGTCTTTTATACATGAATATGTGTCCCCGGTGTTCCAGGGAACTCACCAAGTGTCAGAAAACACAAACCTCTCTATTTTCATCCATACCCAAATCTCTAAAAAAGGGGCTGCAACGGATCTGATAAAAACTGATCCAGATTTGAACACTGTCCTGACGTCAGGACGATGGCGCTACGGCTATTGGGCCAACTCCACCAATCAGGAGGAGACCGCCACGGCCATTGCCGTTCGAAAGCGCTGGAGACGCTGTAGTACATATGCCAGGCCAGTAGATGGTGCTGTTCTCACTGAATCTGCCCCTGCACAAACAGAGCTATAAATTGTCAAATTGAGCAAAATGAGGCATGGCTAAAATGCATGATCTGTTTGGTATTTTTGTATAAATATGCCTTATATAGGTATGGTCCTACACTATATTATTCAAATATAGCATGATAGGTCCACTTTAAAATAAACAATTTTTTGTTCCTGCTTGTTCTATTGCTGCCTCATTACTCATCTCTTCCACATCATTTGCAGCTTAAAGAGGCACAATGACAACTGCAAGGAACATAATGAGATGAGCATTGCACTGTTGGGGTGTTGCTGGGATACAAAGGAGCAAAATCCCATTTAGACTTTTTTAAGTTTCTGTCTCTGTCAGCTTCAGAAATGCTGGTAGGCAGATTTTGCTAAGTTCGGGCAGAGCCAGGCTGTTTACCACTCTTTCCAGTCTATGCTAAGCTGAGCTAAGCTAAACAGAGACCAAATTGGTATATGTGTCATCTAACAGCAAAACATTTGATTCTGTTAAAAACATTTGTGTATAATATCTATAAGCAGTGTTTTATGAGGAAAATAGCCCCAGGTTTTCTCATTAAGAGTACATTTAAGGTATTTTCTCACAAGTTTCAATACTATCACTGCTTCTACTGTTGATACTTGAATATATTATATTATTTTAACATGGCATGTCTGGAGAAAGTGACATTGTTTAATCCAGATGTGGTTTCTAAGTATAGATTTGAATGAATCTTCCATGACTGTTTGCTAGACAAATAGTGACTGTAATGTAAATGTTGTTATTGAGCTGTGATGACAAAGTGAAGTCGTTTAGGGTTGATCTCAGTGTCTCCACAAACAGCTGAAAGCATTAACAGCACAATATCTTTTTTTTCTTTTTATTTGGCCTTTTGAGTGGAGTAATGTAAACATGTGTTAAAAAAAAAAGATTAAATAAAACCCAAAAACTACCCTTTGAAATGTTGTTTTTAAATATTTTAGAAAAATGTTCCCAAAAATTGGCAACCATATATATGGTTGCAGCAGCACGAGACAAAAGGGTGTAATTATAATATTGTGAATGTCAGGGGCTCCCCCTGGTGGCCGGATGTAATCCTGCAGTACAAATTCTGAGGTTCCAGATGTTTGGATTTGCTGCCAAACTGCACCAAAGAAATCTTAATGTCCATGAATTGACTTGTCAAAAGCACGAAATTGCTTCTTAATCATTTGAGGTTTTTCTTGATGGATCATTTTCTAAAGTGTTATGTTACAAAGATATTGCAGTTTTGTTATGTATGACTGGACAGTAGGAGCACCTTGTATGGACTTTTCTTACTAAAAACGGCAAAAGATAATTTCAATTTGTTGTTTCTAAGCCAGACAACATGCAATGAGTATTTAATCAAAGATAAATTGCGTAATTTCCCTGAAAACAATCATAAAAACTATGACCTCTACTTGAAAATGTAATGTAGTTTATAGGCGGGTGATTCTCTGAATCGGGTGCCTTTTGGGTCTTCGCATCTTTGAAAGAAATACCTTAAACTATTGCATTTTTTATCATAACATCTGGTAGAGGACTACTTAAACCTTTGAAAAATGGTATACAATCCCAATCATTACTGAGTTTCCTTCTTACAAAAAGTTATTTGGAGTTCAACCCCGTCACAGACAACTTGGAGTCTGTGTGAATATGATTCAAAAAGATATTCAAGTTCATTCTTGTTGAACCTTAATCATCAGAAGTCCCTTGTTTAGAATCACCTATGTTAAGTAGATTTTTTATTTTAAAATACTCACCATTTGACTGCAAAAGGAGATCATTAGAACTTTATCCGACGTCGGCCTTCAAATGTTATCAAAAATATGCATTAAACTTAGAATTTTGTTTAGGTTTCATATTTTGTCTGATTATCTTGTACATTGTACACATAATACAACACTTCAAAGTTCATATCACTAAAATATTAATACAAACCTATTAAATAACAGGGTTGAACTCAGCATGACAGGGTTGAATATGATAACAGGGTTGAAAGGACAACACATTTTTCAATATGGTATGGATTTATTTAGCTGAGTAATTAATGATAATGCATTCAATTAAATGGAAATTCAATTGAATTACAGCTGAACTATCAAAACATTTGATACAACATCAAGTATTTAAAATTACATTTAAAAAACATCAAGCACAAATTCATCAAAAACATGAATGGAATGAATCAGTCCATATGGTCAGCACACACCATTGCCCCAGCACCTCTGTGTCTTCCCATTGGATTTGCGTTGGCCTCTGTGACACAGCCACTGCCACCTTCTTGAGAAAGCTGAAATGCTGTGTATTCCAACATTCACAGTGTAACTGCTTTTGGTTAGAGCACATACAGCTGACATCACGAGATACTATCTCTCCTGGAGCGAGAGTTACCAGCTGATGGATTCGCATGGTTCCTGGGACTGCTGTTAGGTTTGATGGCATCCTCTCAAGTGCCTGCTCAACTGTTTCACTGTTGACAAAGAACAACTTAATCGATGTATTGGTCTCCAAAAGGGCATTGAAGAGCTCACGTGCATCTTTGATGTCCTGACCATGGCTTATTAGCATGTCAGCAGTCCTCTTCAAGGCTGCACCAACACCATCTGGTGCTCCCTTACCATGGCTGGCCTCAAAGAAATTCCAAGTCCCTGCAGTAAGGCCTCTTTTCCTCAGCTCAGTGCTAAAAAGAAAAAAAGTGCCCTTCTGCTTGTACTGGGTACAAGGACCATCACTAAAAAAGTGTACCACAGAAACATCTGGGTATGTTGCCTGCACATGATCCAGAACAGGGTTTAGATGCTCCCATATAGCTGCTGGGCTTTTGTGTTTTGATGGGGATATTTTGGTGAAACAGGTTGGTTCTTGGATGCCACCTACATAAACAACCCCTGTATGCAGTGTTGCCTGCTGGTGGGATGATCCGAAGTGCACTGCTTGGATTTCCGAACTGTACTTGCAGGTACAGTTCTCAGAAAAATCTACGTCAATTAGGCATTCATCAGTGGCCATGCTCTTCCTTAGCTCACGGTAGTAGGCATACTGCTGCCTAATATTAAAAGAATGCTTCTTGAACTTGCTCAGGAGTGTTTGGAACTGCTCAGCAAGTTGCTCCTGGGTGCCCTCAACAATCTGTTTAACAGTTATCTTCACTGTTGGCCCCATGGTCATTCATTGTTGTCTTATCTTCTGTCCCCCACTGAGTATAGGACACCCTTTCTGCACTGTCATATGTACTTGAGTGGAACTGTTTTGTCTCTGCAGTGTTCACACTCCCCATACATACAATCCTTTCTAGCAGTATCACAGCACACAATTTTAGTGATCGCCTCAAGATTTGAGGTCTCAATCAACTTCAACTGACTAAGCTTTTCTGCCAGAAAGCTAAGATTCTCATGCAGTTTGCACATGCACGTGTCACGGTCAGACAGGGACAGGTGCACAACCCAAAAGGGACGTTGGCGGCAAAATGCAGGGTATGAGATCCTCACCTTTGTTCTCGGCTAGACATTTTATGTGGAGGTTTCTTCTTCTTGTGTCTACAAGGAACCTTTTTTGCATCTTTACCTTGTTTCTTGTAATGGTTTGTTTTCTTCCTGTAGTTATCCTGCTGACATCATCTCTTGTCAAGAAGGTCTTTACATTGTTCTCCATTTGGACTTTGTGGAGGAGTGTTGATATTGCTGAAAGCTTCCCTTTCTTTCCGTCTTATTTTAGCTTTCCTCCACATCTTACGCTTCTGTCGTTTAGCTCTGTCACTCAGATCACTGAGTTTTCTTTTTCCCCTCCTCAGTATTCATTTTCCACCTCTTGCGCTCACTCCCGAGATAATTTTCCCTCCTATCTGGGTCTGCATTCCTTCTTGCCCTGTACTCTTTGCTGCTGTTTTTCCCATTGTGATGTCTGAAATTATTAAACATTAAAAAAACATTAAGAATGATACAGACATTACCATTTAGTCATCTAAGAAATGTCAAACATTCAACCCTATCACAACAGTTCAACCCTGTTATAAGAAATGTGACAGGGTTGAAGTAGCCATACGACCTTGTTTAGCTAAGACATAGCCCCACATGGAATTAAAGGACATCATAAAATTGTAATATTTTGCAAAACTATTGTTTAATTATTCCTAAAGAATTGTTTACTATAAGTAATTCATACAACAGAGTTGAAATGTTGAGCTTGACAATAAAAAAATGAAATATGGGTACGAAAAGATACTGACACTTGCCTTTCTTTGCCGCCTTTTCCTCAATAGACTTCTGTGATGTCACTCCCTCAATGCAGATGTCACATGGACTGATCCATTATTTTAATAGGGGGGTAAAATGTATGGCGTGACAGGGTTGAAACAAACTGGGGGACGCGTGTCAATAGTGCAATTTCATAGATAATTCATGTATTTTTTTTCTCAGTTAAAGTACACATGATTATATTAGCATCAAAATGTTGGTATAATTGGCAATTGTTATTTGTTTAATATTCAATGAATATGTGAGGACATGCAAAAATGTCTACTACAAAGACAACTAATTATTACAAAACAAAATCAAAAATATATATATTTAGTTTTACATTGTAATGCAAAACACCTTGTTCCTTTAATTCAGTGCTTTAAAATACATTTTATAGTTTCCTTTCATTTAAAATCTTTGAAGTAAGCTTGGGGGACACAAAGGGCACCCGATTCAGAGAATCACTATACAATCTATGTTCTCCAAATATAATGGTACGTACAAAAAAAAACGTAATGCATCACTATCCGTACAAAAAAAAAAATAAGTAATTCCAAAGTGGAAAAAGCACCATCTCAAATTGAGCTTTAATCCAACATGCCCTCGGAAAACATTAAATGTTGTAACTTCCAAATAAAATAACCACAAAACAAGATTCTTATATAAAAAACGTTTTTAACAATTTCTTTTTTCAGTATAAAACATTACAGAGTTCCAGGCCAATCAAACAAATTCACGGTCAACATTTGAAATAACAATGAACTCCCCAGTCAAACGTTCTACAATAACATACAAAGGGGTTTTTGCCATTAAGGGGTTTTCTGTATTTTTTTTATCTAGTTATGGGGAAATATTACAACACAAATCCTAACAATCACTCTTTGTTGGCTAAAATATTAATAACAAAAAAGAAAAAATGTGAACTCCTGGTCCCATCAAAGCCCGAGCCCCGAATTTTCTGGTCAACATGGCATTTATGCCGTCTTCTGCTGGCCCTTCTTCCCAATGAGGGATTTGTGGATGTGGGGAATGACACCTGAAAACAAAACCAGAAAACATTGGTTAGATAAATGATTCATTAAAAATGTCATCCAGAAAAATGTCAACTGCAGTAGAACAGATTTAGCAGAGCGTACGGACATCAAGAAACAAACAATATGAATAAAAACTTGAAAGAACAAGGAAAAAAATAATCTGAAATAATGTCTTTGTAATCTCACCTCCTCCAGCAATTGTTGCCTTGATGAGAGAGTCCAACTCCTCATCACCACGGATGGCCAACTGCAAGTGACGGGGTGTGATACGCTTCACCTTCAAGTCCTTGGAGGCATTGCCTGCCAACTCTAGTACCTAAGAACAAAAAGTACAGATATTAATACAAACATCACCCTCACACACAGAAACACTGTGTGATGGTTAACCACTAACATGCAAAACAATGGGGAAAGCTTACTTCAGCGGTGAGGTACTCAAGGATAGCTGCACTGTACACAGCTGCTGTGGCTCCTACACGACCGTGGCTGGTAGTGCGAGTCTTTAAGTGCCTGTGGATACGACCCACTGGGAACTGGCAGGAAATAAACATGAAGCAATGAATCGAGATGAACAAAGAGAAGAAATAATGTGCCAAAGACCAACATATAAAGATTGAAAATTACCTGTAGTCCAGCCCTCTGGGATCGAGACACTGCCTTAGCCTTGGCTTTGCCACTGTCCTTTCCTGCCTTGCCACCAGCCTGTATGGGTCATTTCAGGATTTAATGAATAAAACATGTTACAAGAAATCAAACAAGACAAGCTAAAGAAGACACAGCTGTGTCGGGATGTGATGTTTAGATTTCTTAAAAATGGGTTCTGCATTAAAAATAAAGTACAGCCCTGTTTTCAAGTTAGTAGGCAGAGGAATGTGCAAAACAAAACATTCGCCCATGAAGTGTTTCAATTACAAAAGCGCTTCAACAGGTAACGTTACAGATGGCCGGTGAAACTGTTATTGCTTTCCCGCCAATCACACAAAAACACAACAAACGCGGTAACGGCTCACCGGAAATAACAACATGCATGAAAGCATGAAATAACCCGAAAAAAGGTGGGAAATTTGATTTAAAAAGACAGTTAGACACAGAGGCTGCCCGTGATCCCGCGACAAACACAAAACAAACGCGCCGCTTTAGGTCGGTCAGCGATATTAGTTTTCATTCAGAATGTCCATCAGTTAGTACATTTGCCTCCTTAAGTCCGACCGTCAGATAAAAAAAACACAATGACGATGTTACGCCTTCCTAATAGTTAACAGGCTTATTTATAAAGGCTTGTGGTCAACTGCTGATGGCTAACCAACCGTTAAGCTAATGAAATAGCCTAACTTAGCTTGCTAATGGTGCTAATCCACCGTTCAGAGGATAAACAGGGTGAAAACACTCCTACGAATACAAGTTTAACTGTTACACTTCTAATTACCCCCGCTTTTGCGAAACAGCAACTATCCGATTATCAGAAAATATAGTATTACATTTTAGGGGGGGAAAACAACAAAACTCGGACTTCTCGAGCTGCCGTAAATGCTAACATGTTAGCTGACAGTTAGCTCTTTATGAAGCTTTTTTAACCACACATCTTCTGGCCAAATTGTCTCAGTTCAAATACAAAGCAGCACTTTATACTGTGGCACATTAATTACAGTACAACTTTAACGACGTCCTGTGTAAAGCATTTATCAGTAACCGAAGCGCACATACCATTTTTCCGTGTCGTTATTTGATTGCAGAACTGAGAAGATAGCAAACAATTTCGGCTCCCGAAAGCAAAGAAACAATAAACCCTTTCGCAAATCTTTTGCATGCGACCCCTCGTGGGAGTTTAGACAGCCAATGATAATGTGTTTTGTTACTTCGAATCTCTTCCCCGACCAATTGCAGAAGCGCTTGTAGAACCTTTACCCATCCCCCACCCTAAGATCATCGTGCCTGCCTTTGCACACGGAACCAACAAGTAGGCGGGACAGTGTGTGTAGTGTCCTACCAGGGCCATCCATCCCAAAATGAACAAAATACATAACTAGGACTGTGTATATGGAATTCATTATTGAACTGAAATACAAAGACAACGACAACTTATTCAAAATACATAGTTGTGTGCTGACTGTGTTGAAAAACGGGTTGTGCCAACAGTAAATTCACTAAAGGATTAATTCTCCATCAAAAATGTTCGTTAGTCATGAATGCAATACTGACGTGAGGGCCTGCTAGTATGTACTGTAAATGCAACATGTAGTTGAATGTCACCCAGAAGGCGGTTACGTTATAATGACAGACAGGAAAACTGGCGAATGAAACACAGCCCCTGTGTCTAATGGTGTGTTTGACAGCAGCAGCGGCCAATCAGAGGCCAACAAAACCATCTGTCCGGTTTCCTCAGTGTGCTCTGCAAGCGAGGGGGTGGGGGTCAAAGATACGCAGAGAAACGGGCTGCTGGTGGCGAAGATGGCGGATGGGGACAGTGGCAGTGAGCGCGGTGGTGGTGGCAGCAGCAGCGGCGGCGGCGGAGGTGGAGGAGGAGGAGGTGGAGGAGGTGCAGGAGGTGCAGGAGGTGGAGGATTTCAGCATTACCAGCGGGAAACGGAGACCCAGGAGCTGGCCTCGAAGCGGCTGGACATTCAGAACAAACGCTTCTACCTGGATGTAAAGCAAAACGCCAAAGGCCGGTTCATCAAAATCGCCGAGGTCGGCGCAGGGGGCTCTAAAAGTCGGCTGACCCTCTCTATGTCAGTTGCGGCAGAGTTCCGCGACTACCTGGGGGATTTCATAGAGCACTACGCCCAGCTTGGGCCTAGCACACCGGAGCAGATCGCTCAATCATCCGGCGGGGATGACACCGGGCCTAGACGGGCCTTGAAAAGCGAGTTCCTGGTGCGTGAGAACCGTAAATACTACCTCGACCTCAAGGAGAACCAGCGGGGTCGGTTTCTCCGGATCCGACAGACCGTCAACCGAGGCCCCGGTTTTGGAGTTGGAGCGGGTGGCATCCCCGGTGCTGGCCTCCAGTCCGGACAAACCATCGCACTCCCGGCCCAAGGCTTAATAGAGTTCCGCGACGCCTTGGCTAAGTTGATTGACGACTACGGGGGAGATGAGGAGGAGCTGTCCGGCGGCGGAGGGGCCGGGGGCTACAGCGAGCTTCCAGAGGGCACCTCGATCATGGTGGACTCCAAGCGCTTCTTCTTTGACGTGGGGTCCAACAAGTACGGAGTTTTCTTGCGGGTGAGCGAAGTGAAGCCCAGTTACAGAAACTCTATAACCATCCCCTTCAAGGCGTGGAGCAAGTTCGGGGGAGCATTCAGCCGCTACGCCGAGGAAATGAAAGAGATCCAGGAGCGGCACCGGGATAAGATGTACGAGAGGACACCTGGAGAGGAATCGGAGGGCGACGACGTGGAAGACGATTGATGGAGAGGTGGCTATATTGTGATGAAGCTGACAACATAATGCAAAGCCTGGCGATAAACAAGAGAGAGCAACGACTATTCTGTGCATGACGAATCGAAAAATGCTACAACAACGGAGTAAAACAAAAACATATATATATATATATATATATATATATATATATTTGACTGAGAAATTACTGTCTATATCAGAGAATCATGTCCTAAAGTTTAGATGGATGTTATAGCTAAATGAGTGGGGACTGCAGTAGTCAGCTCCTGTATGAGATCCCCCATTGATATAACATTTTTAGATATATATATATAAATATATATTAACTTTGTATTTGATAACCTCACATGTAGCCCAGCAAATTAAGTTTGACAGTACTCAAGAGATACACCTATAGGTTACCAGACCCACCTCCAATGGTGAGAGCTCACCTGGGGCTGACCTGTAGTCTGTGTTATGATAATAAGGAAGTGTGACATACTCATACCAGCAGGAGCAGAGTGGGAATGAGACAGAGCGCCTGCATCACTCACCATGGTTGTGTGTGCGTTTTTTCGTCTAAAGTGACCTGTAACAAATGGCTTGCCCAGACAGACCCACAACACCCAGAGCCACCGTCTCAGCTATAGAGGGAATCCTTGGCATCTCAGGACATCCACTAAGCCCAGCGAGGTGATCTGTTACAAGCACATTTATCATTTGGATTCTCTGGACAGTCCATTTGACTCCAAACGACCTCCTGCCCCCCCTCTCCCTCCTGGGCATCCCTCCGGTGCTAACCTCCTGCTCTGATAGCTGATACGTGGGCCTCCTTACGCGTGGCTCGTTTTGTCAGGGCTGGCTAGTCCAATCTGTATTCCTGAGTATATTAGCATTTCCTGTGCCTGTGCATCATCCTTAAGAGGTTCTGGCTGCAGATCTGGTCAGCAAGGTGCTGCAGTCGAGACGTCTGTGGCAACTGATGATGTTTCATATGATGCAGGCCCACGTTTCACCCCTGTGACCTTTTCATCATAGGGGGCACGGTGAGCTCGGGCCTTTAGCACCCGTCGCAATTTTTCCAGTTAAATCTTAATATGCCGGGCTTGAGCTATTATTTAAGATGCGCCATTTGGATCCTTTATTCTTGAACTCAGACCATTATTGAAGCAATATTCAGTCTGATTGATTGTAAGAAAAAAATTAGGTCCTCTTGGAAAACAAAGCTGTTACCTTAAAAAAATATATACTGGAAGAGATTTACTTACTTAATGATCAAGTATAGATTTAATTATTTTTCAAAAGAGATATATTAAAAGATGTCTTGGAATTATGAGACATTTATTAGATAATGCTGCCTAAAGTGGCTTATTTAAAACACTAAACTTGGATGCAACTGTCCAGGGTGATATTTCATGCTTTTTTCCCTAACATTTATTTTATTCCTTAGAGGAAATTAAGAAGAGTACAAACAAATTGATAACAAAGTATGTTATAGCAATTTCTAGAAGCAACTTCACTGAAGTAGTTTCTCAGCAAACACTCAGCACTCCAGTTCACTTTACAAAGCATCAAGTTGTCCCCTCGTTTCAATCCACTCGTTTTAACCATGTTTTGTCACAAATTGGCTTTCCATCAGTTGCCATATGACGCAAACAAAAACTTGCAATCATTGACATTTGTCTTCAGTGCTCCTTTTTAAAAATATGATTATTTCTGCATGCATGCTCTTATGCGGAGCTGCCTTGTGTTCTTTAATTTAGCATATTCTGATTACTGTATGATGGTATCTATCCATTTTTGAGAGCCGTTTAAAGTTTTATTTCTTGCAATGGAAACATTTTAAGTTTACTTCTCAGCCTGATATAAAAAAAAAAGCCACAAAGTCTCTGTGCTTTGGGGAATGTTACTTTCATTGTCCCACTTCCTTTGGTGTGTAAATCTCTCGTTGAATTGTATTTGACCCACTTTAACACAGCAGAGAAATGCCATATGAAAAAAGTTAACACATGGGAGCAATAGTTTTTTTCTTCTTTTCTATTGATATAAATATACTATATATAATGTTACATATGAGATTGAACTACATCCTTCTTCCTGTACTGTGTTACGTGAAATGGCAGCTGTTTCAGTTATGTGTGTTCTGCTGTAATATTCTACCGAGTTCCTTTCAACGAGAAATAAAAAAGGTTTTTGCTCAGGAGAGGTGTGGTGTTTTTCTCCTCCCCACCTCAGGGTGGAGGTCACTTTCTTTACAGGATCTCTGCAACAAATGTGTGATGCAACAGTTTGGGTGTTTGTGATTGACACGCATTTCTTTTTTGCAATTAATGTTGTCCATAAAAAGGTGAAAAATACGTATCCATGCTTGCGTATAATATAAGTGCCTCTTTAACGGGATAATCAAAACATTTGCTTAAACATAATTACTATTTCCACATGATTTCATAAGCAACTGACTAATTGTAAAATGCACCAGGCTTTCATTCCCTGAAACAAACTGGTGGATGAGGTGAAAGTACCAGTACAAAAATGTAAAAGTACTCCATAACAAGTAAAAGCATTCAATAACCTTAATCTAAATCACGGAAATATATCTATTTTTTTTTTAAATGTGCTTAAACTATCAACATTTATAATTATTTTCTGCATTAAACCCCTCCATGACTAATGTATTATTTATTACATGATCACGCTAATGATACGTTTTCAAATTCTAGCTCACTCGAGCTGGTTTCTCCAAAATTACCTACCCCACCTTTAAGTTAAAGATGTCAATACTTCTACCACCACATACGTAAAATGTTATACAGTCTGAGTGTCACAACTCCTGCCGCATCCGTTAAACAGAAGGTTCAGGAAGCAGGACAGCTAGAGGCCAGTGTATCCTTTGAGGTTTGTTGGAAACCTAAATATAACCCTCTGCTGTGTAGAGGCCTACATGGTGCTGGTCAACAGGGCAACGTGGGGAAGGTGTCAGTGTGCCGTTTTATTTTAGAGGAACTGGAATGAACCTAGTCCGTCAATCGCCTCAGACAGAGGGAGGATGATTCACAGAAAAAACAGCTGACTACAACTTAAAGCAAAGGTTTCACACAGATTTCAGTTAAAAAACATAGACACATCACCTTTGTAAGGATTTGCCTATACCACAAGAAACTAGTGAAACATTTTTCACTTTGCTGAGTCATTTTAGCTGTCGCATACCAAAACCTTTGAACCTTTTCTGTGTAAATGACCTATTGTATACACATTAATCATTTTTAGCTTTTTATTTAGTAAAGAATATCTTAATATTGCCCTTCCTTGTGCTTATTATGCATTGTATACTTTGCCTACTTCTGCACATGTACAGACTGTAAACAAGTAAATAAGTAAGTACACCTTACTGGTTATTCAAAACACTCTATTTATTTTGTATCTTCTAAACATTACTCTGAATTTAAGTGTTTTTTGACATTCAGCTGAGATACATTTAGTCATATCAGTTCATGTACTCTGTCAAATGAAAATATAGTTCATTCTTATCTAATTTTACTTTTTAAAGTCAGAAATGGTGCATGGACTGCATTTATATAGCACTTTATAGTCGTAGCACCACCAAGTGCTTTATGCTTCAACACAAGCCAGAATTGACGCGTTCACATACACATTCAGACACCAGAGGAAGAGGCTACCGTACAAGGGGCTATTGCTCATCTGGAGCGATAAACATTTACACGCACGCTCACACTGTGATTTAGGATTCAGAACCTTGCCCAGGGATTCTGGATCCTGGGCCCTGCAGAAATCCCGGCTGTGGATCAAACCAACGACCAACGACCTGCTGGACAACTGCTCTACCTCCTGTTGTGGAGTAAAGATGTATAAGAGGTTATCAAAGGCAAATAATTCTTCAAAATAATTAATAAAGATTATATTATATTAAAAAAAAAATGTCAAACTGTCCTTCAATACTATTTGACTCCAAATTAAGAATAACAAATAAATAAAGTTATGCAGAGCCCTTACGGATCTCATTCTACTATGGATCAACTCCACAATCTTACTGAGCTTTCCAAAAACACTAAAGTAATGTGAATCTAATTGAAGATGCTTTTTGAGAGTCTGTCCCCTTCAACAATTCAAAACTTAAACTATTTGGGGAATTAGGGGAGAACAAGTCAAAGCAGCATGTTTTTTCAGCTATAGCTGTGTGTTAGCAATGTTTCGGCCACATCTGCATAATCTTTAGCCGTGCTTCAGGCTACCCGATGGATATAAATCCTATCTTTTAGTTTAGATTTGGAACTATGTCCAATTGTGAACAGATTGGGATGATGGATAAAGGAATTACATATGTACAAGTCAAAGTTGTTCCTCAGTAAAGAACTTGAGTAATGGTACTTAGTTCCTCAACTGGGTGATGCTTATGGAGCAGAGCTGGGAAAAAATATGGAGTTGTGCTCACTCAGAGAATACTGATGTTGCATTATCACGAAAACAATCTCGGAATCCATCAGCTATTGGTCGATAACTATTAACCTCTGAGGACAAGTGTTGTTGGCTCCAATGTAGCCAGCAGATATCCAGGCAATGACTTCCTCTTAAGTGATCCGCTCAATTTTGAAATTAGCAATATAAAACTAAACAATGTAATTGGGATACAATATCTAAGAACGGATTGTGTCACAAAGACACAGTTTATGAGCTAATTTAAGTCATTGTCAGACGATAGTCAATTAAGATTGCAAGTCAGTTAATGGTCTCTGTTGCTTTAGCTCTCCACAAGGACTGCTGTATTCCACCGTAGCTCGAATAAAAGTCTATGCTGACTATTGCCACTCAATATCACAGAGGGATTGCTAAACTGTGATTTTCTAGTTGGATGCGTGCGTTCTCCAATGACGACTATGTCATTGCTACAAATATAATTTATTTACAACCAGCGTGTGTAGGGCAACACGGTCAAAAACAGTTTGCTCATCACAGCCCCAATCACTCACACCTGTACCGGTGAGGTCACCTAAATACCCAGTCGCACCATTACACCATCCAGGGTTCAAAATAAAAACAAAAACATATAATTGGCTTAAACAAAGTCCTTGGCAATGCAAAACTAATAAATGCCATCGTGCAGCTTGACAACATTCCACAATACAGCTTTATGAGATCTATGTGCGAGCTGAGGCCTCCGAGGAATTCGATGGAACTAGTTTCAACATCTGGAGCGATAAACATTTACACGCACGCTCACACTGTGATTTAGGATTCAGAACCTTGCCCAGGGATTCTGGATCCTGGGCCCTGCAGAACTCCCGGCTGTGGATCAAACCAACGACCTTCCGCCTGCTGGACGACTGCTCTACCTCCTGTTGTGGAGTAAAGATGTATAAGAGGTTATCAAAGGCAAATCATTCTTCAAAATAATTAATAAAGATTATATTATATTAAAAAAAAAAAAAAGAATTCAAACTGTCCTTCAATACTATTTGACTCTAAATTAAGAATAACAAATAAATAAAGTTATGCAGAGCCCTTACGGATCTCATTCTACTATGGATCAACTCCACAACCTTACTGAGCTTTCCAAAAACACTAAAGTAATGTGAATCTAATTGAAGATGCTTTTTGAGAGTCTGTCCCCTTCAACAATTCAAAACTTAAACTATTTGGGGAATTAGGGGAGAACAAGTCAAAGCAGCATGTTTTTTCAGCTATAGCTGTGTGTTAGCAATGTTTCGGCCACATCTGCATAATCTTTAGCCGTGCTTCAGGCTACCCGATGGATATAAATCCTATCTTTTAGTTTAGATTTGGAACTATGTCCAATTGTGAACAGATTGGGATGATGGATAAAGGAATTACATATGTACAAGTCAAAGTTGTTCCTCAGTAAAGAACTTGAGTAATGGTACTTAGTTCCTCAACTGGGTGATGCTTATGGAGCAGAGCTGGGAAAAAATATGGAGTTGTGCTCACTCAGAGAATACTGATGTTGCATTATCACGAAAACAATCTCGGAATCCATCAGCTATTGATGAATTCGATGGAACTAGTTTCAAAATCTGTGTTGCTTATCCACCATGTGTGCTGACTGTGTGTGAGTTCCCATCTCATAAAATCTCCACAATTTCACAACTGCAGAAACTTTGACTTGCGATCAATAGAAAACACAAAATAAATAAATGAACTTCAGGAATGGTCTGCATTCGTCATCTTGCAGTTAAGCTACAATTCTATAACTCTATGAGCCAGTAGCTCCAGGCTAGATATATGAAGGAGTATTGGCACAGATATAGTGGGTGTTTCTCAATGTTGAGGAGGCTTGCTTGGTAGCACATGTACCTCCGAGTGAGTTCCTTAAGAAGCAAGGCAAGAATACCTCCTAGCCTCGGAAAATGAAGAATGGAAAGGGGTAGTGGTGGTCTAATGGATAGTGAGGTGGGCTGAAGATCGGAAGTTGTGAATTCAAATCCCGCCTCGAACACCATCACTAGTGTGCCCTTGAGTAAGGCACTTAGCCCTCAGTTACTCCAGGGAGAATGTCCCTGTAATTGGTCATTGTAAGTTGCTTTGGATAAAAGCGTCAGCTAAATGGTAATGTAATGTAATGGAACAGGCTAGCAAGTGTGCAGGTGTGCGTCATATGAGAGGCCCCGCCTTACATTTTCTGCCAAAGACATTTTGGGAAATTGGTCAGTGCGCAAAGCATTGTGGGGATTTTAAGACCGCGGAGTCTACACATGTGCAGCCTTGAAATTTCCCGCAACGAAGTACGCCAGCCTCGGTAGAATTCCAAGTATCCTGGACATTGGAACAGTCCTTCGGCAGCACTCGAGGATGTAGTATCCTTGAAATAGTGGCTCTGGAGCAGCTTTCCTCGACATTGAGAAACACCCAGTGTCATCAACAGACCTCATAACGCACTGATGTTGTAAAACTTTCACAACATCAGTGCGTTATAAGGTCTGTTGATGACACTATATCCTCTGCTGCGTGATTCACAAACTTATTTTCTCATTTGATGCACACACACGCACTTTCATTCACATAAATGAGCAAATCCCCCTCCCTTCTGCGTTACACACAGCCTCTGTGACCTCTCTGAGTGCTGAGTGATAAAGAGTGTGTAGAGAGGACATGCTCAAGGGCACGTATCACCATGCAGAGCCTGTTGCCAGTGAAAGAGGGGATTATTTCACATGGCCCTGGTGTCCTGAT